GCAGGGCGTCCCCTCCTCACAGTCAGGGTGAAAGCCCTAGTAAGTCCTTTAGGAAAGATCCCCTACTTTAAAAGGAACGTTTCACCACGTCTTTCTCTTTAGAATTTAAAGGTTTTTTTTTTTTTTAAATTATTTCTTTATTGATTTCAGAGAGGAAGAGAGAAGGAAAGAGAGATAGAAACATCAATGATGAGAGAGAATCATTGATCGGCTGCCCCCTGCACACCCCCTACTGGGGATGGAGCCCACAACCCAGGCATGTGGCCTTGGCCGGAATCGAACCCAGGACCCTTCAGTCCCCAGGCTGATGCCCTATCCACTGAGCCTAGGGCGAATTTAAAGGTTTTCATCTCACTTTGCAGTAACTTAAAAGGCCTGATGAATTGAACTGAGGCACGTTACAGTTGGAAGGGAAAACGGTTAATTTGTGACCTTGAAAGTCAATAGAAATTAATTTGCCTCAGTATTCTGCAGGATGTTTTGTGTCGACTTTGAAATCTACGTTCCTTTTCTTCTTACTCTGGGTTTGGTATGAGGCATAATAAAAAATGCTCCAACTAAACTTCCCATTTGAATGAATTTATAAGAACGCACAGCTGTGAACGGCAAAGGACTCAAATCCGAAAGAACATTTTTAGAAAACCTTGAATGTGAAAAGGAAGCAAACCAATCCTTTCCCTCTTTCCTGTTTAACCTGCTAATTAGGCACGGCCCCAGGACATCCTGACCCAGACCTCCCGGTCCTGCGGGTGACCCTCCTCGCCTGGGTTCTAACCATACCTTCCTCTTCGGGCTGCGCTGTGCCAGCGATCCAGTTTCCCTGCAGCCTCCCGACAGCTGAGTCATCCATTATTTAAGGCGGAGAAATATTGCCAGAGACCAGCTGTCAGGAGCTGCTTACCGAGCTCGCCCGCCGGGGCCCTGGTGGGGGTTCGGTGCCGGCACGGTGTGCTGGGAACCTGGCTGCACCCAGACACTGCATCCCGGGCAGAGCAGCCGCTGAGCCGGGGAGGCCGGTGGGGGGCAGGGTGACCAGGCGCTTGCATTTGCAGGTGTGCCCAGCGACTTCAAAGACCGAGGCGCCTACGACAGTGACCCCGGCGAGCGGAAGGTCTGCAGGTTCAAGCTCGAGTGGCTGGGCAACTGCTCCGGAATAAATGACGAGACGTTCGGCTACAAGGAGGGCAAGCCCTGCGTCCTCATAAAGCTCAACCGCGTCCTGGGCTTCAAACCCAAGGCAAGTTTGCTCCTCCCAGCGCAGATGGGCCGCGTGGGCGGCGTGGGGCGCGGAGCAGTGAGGGTGCGCAGGGAGCCCAGGCGGTGTTAGAGGGGAGCAGTGAGGGTGCGCAGGGAGCCCAGGCGGTGTTAGAGGACACCCGCCAGGGTTTTTGAAACACAGTCGGTAGAGCAGCATGAAAACCTGCGTGCCCAGCATGAGTTCCGCAGCTTCTCGCTCTTGCTCTCTGCAGCGGGCCCGAGGGGCGGGCTCCCGGGGCGGCGGGTGACCGTTCTCCACCCTGTACTCAGCCCAGAGAACGGCGTTCAGAGCGTGAGCTCTTTCAGAGTAGACATAGGAAAGCATATTTTTAAATTTACAAGCTACCTGCGCAGAGAGCCGTTCGCTGGTTTTGGTACTCTTGGAGCCTGGGTATTTTTAAAAATGAACGGCAATCTTGAAAAAACAGTTTCTTTTCCTGAGCGAAGATCCCTTGCAGAGTTACAGTTGAATACGGTCCGAGTTGAAGTTGATGACCGTGCTGTTGGCTTTCGCCTCCGACGGGGCCATACTGAGGGCCCTGAGGGATGCCAGGTGCCTCTGCTTTTATAAAATGAGGGACCTTATTCTCTCATGAGTAGCTGATGCTGCCCTTTCCCCATAAGCACGGGCGCCCGCGTGGGCACCGCGGCCCTGAGTGCAGTATTCGTCCTGACGGGATCGATGGCAGTGCAACTGAGTCATGACCAACACTCACTTCGTTTCTGGAGCCCGGCCCTTCTGTTCACCAGCTTGGGCTTCCTGTTGTTAACGTTGCAGGGATTGCTGGCAGGGAGTTCCGAGAGTCCAATCTAGATCATTCCTCTCTGGTCTCACGCAGAGGCTAGGCCAGAGCATTAGTGCCGTACGATACAGGGGCTGCCCTTCAAAGTGTGCGCGGGTCCCTTCAAGGATGGACCCCTGCTGGACCCCGTCATTCAGGGCAGGGCCCCCCACCTGTGTGCAGACTGGGCATCCCTCACAGCGGGAATGCCCCTGGGCAGTGCCCCCACTGGAGGGGAGGGAAGGGGAGGGCATGCGGGAGGGGGGGAGCATTATTTCCTCAGGGTTCGAGAGGAAAGCCCGAGTTGCATAAAAACAAACGCCGACCTCTGTCCCTCGGTCTTAGCGGGCAAGGGATGCTTTGCCGGGGCATTTCCCAGCCTGGAGTAGCCGCCTGGTGGTTCCCGGGGAAGTTCCACTTAGTGCTGGGCTGGCCCCGCCTGACGGTGCTCACACAGCGCAGGCCTTTGATGTCATCGGGTCACAGCCTTCCTGAGATCCCTGGCACTCATTCATCTGCCACCCCCAGGTGTACTTGTTTGGGCTGCAGAAAATTTTAAAAAGTTATTTACAAAATTACTGACCAATGTGGGTTTTATTTTTAGCCTCCCAAGAATGTGACCATGGAGAGTCTTCAAATGGTGAAGTACAGCCCCTATGTCCTGCCCGTCCAGTGCACCGGCAAGGTAAGGGCTGGGACTTACTGAGGGGGCGCTGTGGGAGCAGGGGCGGGGCAGGGGGACCAGAGTGGGGGGGCAAGGGGGGGCGAGATAGAGACTGCGGGAGGCTGTTTGAATTAGAGGTAAGATTTTAATATGGGACGTAAGAAACATGGCTTCCCAGAAGCAGCCTCTGTCAGTCAAGTTGTAACTCTATGGAGTAGAACTTCTTAAACGAACAGAAAGATGTCACAGGAGTGAAACCGCATGTCTCTCCCCCCTGGGCGAGGCAGCGGAAAATCTGGATTGATCTGGTGGAAGGAGTACTGTTCGTGGAGCTGAGAGGCGGACTAGCCCACGCGGGCTTCTCCTCCAACTGG